GCTGACACAGGCCACCATGCCATGAGCCTTCTTGGCCACATGGCCACACGCTGCCTCATCTTCAGCTGCTAAAGGCCAGCAGCAACCCTGGCTCCTTTTGGCCCACGCAGCTCCCCTGCCACTATGGTGCCCATTTCACTTCAGATACAGCAGGCATCATTGTACGATGGCCTTCCTGTTCTGAGCAACACAAGACAGCAGTCAAGGACTTGCAGCTTCACCCCCACTGCAGGCTCAGAGGCACTTGCCAAAGCTGCAGACTGCACCAAACTATGCATCAACAGAAACTGGCCGCTTCTGCTTTTGGCCTCGCAAGAAAGCTTCGCGACTCCGCACTTTGTTTCTTTGGCCACGCGGGACAAGAATGGCTCCCCACAGCTGCAGGGACCACACAATCCTCCCCTTGCAGCTTATCAAAAGCCAAAAGACAGCTGGCCCAAAAGAGACTGTACAAGTGAAGAACTACTCAAAGAAATTGCAGACCACTTTCACAAGACAAGCACACCTTTCCAAAAAGGGAAAACAAACAAACCAAGGCCTGGCACCTCCAGCACTCCCTCCTTTGCCCTTGGCCATAGCATTGCAGAAGCCAAGCGATAGAGCTTCCGTGAGCCAAGCAGCCAGATGCTCTCCCACAGGCACCAGCCCTTTGCTGCCTCAACATGACAGCTCAAAGGCCAAGTTCTGTGGTCGCTGCCTGGAGGAAATCCCCAGCTCCTGGCAGGACTCCAGCACCCAGCATCCTCAGCCAGCAACAGCAAAGTGCTGGCTGCTCCAAACCTTGCAGCTCTGCCTTGCACTAAAGACAGCACCACACACAACTGGCACTTACACGTTGAGAATATGGTGGTCTGACCACTGATGGAGGCTGGCGCTCATCCACCTCAGTTTGCTCCTCTTTGGCTTCTTCTCCAGGAGCAGCGGGGGCCAGGGGAGAGGCGGCTCTTGCTTCTGTCATCTGTGGCAAGAGAGGAGCATGAGGGACAAGTCGGTACCTATCATGTTGAACCCCATTTCTTTTAACATCTACCACCACATCTTCTAAGGAAAAATCATAACATCTCATAGGGACAGAGGGATTCTAAGTCACAGCTACCAAATTAACATGGGCCAATTCAACGCCACTCTAGATGGATATGAAATTGGTTCTCCTCCCTGGCTGCTATCAGCAAGCAAATTGTCTCGAAAAAATGGAGGTTTTAGTTCTTGAAAGCACTGAAATGGAAAACTAGGAAGGCGACAGCGATGCCTTTGCTACTGCTGCTGCAGACGTGGAAAACTAAAACTGGATCACAATCCCATCCAGGGCAGGAAAAAGCAGGAAATGTTGTGCAGAAGCATGTTTGATGGCTAGAAAAAGAGAAAATGAACAGGCCTTCTCCTCCTAGCCAACCAAGGAGTCAACAAACCACAAGATGCAAGTGTCACCCACTCCAGTGTCTCAATCCCTTGGATGCAGTGAGGGGATGTTTGGCAGAGAAACAGCCTTTGTGCTGAGCACGGTCATGTAGGGATCGATGGAAGTCTGCCTGGAGGTCCCTCAAGAGCCTCCCATTGTCCAGGCTAAAGCTCTCTCAGCACCTCCTCACTGGCCTTGTGCTGCACCCCCTTGCCCAGCTCCCCTGTCCTTCTGTGCACGCGCTGCAGCCCCTCCATGACTTTCTGCTGCCCAGGGGCCCACAAGTGCACCCAGCACTGCAGCTGTGGCCGCAGCGCTGCCCAGCACAGGGCCACGCTCACTGCCCTGCTCCTGCTGCCCCACTGCTGCTGACACAGGCCACCATGCCCTGGGCCTTCTTGGCCACCTGGCCACACGCTGCCTCATCTTCAGCTGATCAAGGCCAGCAGCAGCCCTGGCGCCTTTTGGCCCACACAGCTCCCCAGCCACAAAGTTTCCTAAATTACTTCAGATACAGCAGGCACCATTGCAAGATGTCCTTCTTTTTCTACAGCTGCATCTTCTAAGGAGATAGCATTAAATTTATCAGAGTAGAATTCTCAGTCTCTCTGACTAATTTGAAATTGGGTAATTCTACTCTATAGGAAATTGCTCTTAGTTCAGTATTCCCCTCTAGGTGCTGTCAGGAAGTGACATTCTACCTGTCAAACTGAGTTTATATTTCTTCAGGGCTCTGAGATGGAAAGTAGGAACTATCCACTTATACCCTATGTTTTTTTTTTGAAAGCATGAAAATGGATTTTCTTTTGGCCTCCCTCTACACTCTACTGCTACTGGCCAAGCTGACAGCTGGGTCCATAATTTCTCAACACCAGGAACATGAAATCTAACTCACCTCAGGATCAGCTCCACTGAATACACGCTTCAGGTGACCTGTAGTGGGCAATGGAAAATGAACCAGATGCTTTGAGAAAACTGCTTGGGCTTGTGAAACCCACAGAACAAGTCAACCCAAACAGAGATGATTCCCCATTTCACAACATCCCTCCAGGAGACAGGTTTCATTCACACAGCAAGGAATAGATCAGGACCGTATTCTTGCTTGTGCCTACACTTGTGCCTGTTTTGTCAGTAAATGACTACAAACATGATGAAGAAAATTCAAATTGTTCTTGAACACTTGGTGTTCCTCTTCTACCAAATACATAAAACAGCTTTTTTCATCTCTCCCTCGAGTACTTTTTTTTTTTAAAAAGTCAGTTGCATGCACCAATTCTCATTAACTTGCTGGAAACTGTTGCCCAGAAAAGCTTCCCCAAAATCCCCCTGAGCTGCACTAGTTCTGTTGTGAAACAGCACAACAGTAACTCCAGGGTTCTGGAGCAGACACTCAGTGCTTTGGAGTTTACATTTCATTGCAAAGGGAATCTCTATTTAGCACTCACTAAAGGATCAAGTTAGACAGTCAAATCCCTTCAGGACAAAATTTTGGAAGAAAGAAGCTTTCCCTGAATTCTGGGAACAACTGCAGAGTTTTTAGAAGGCATTCCCTGAAGGTCTGCCAGTCTACATTTTCCAAGGTGTCTTGCTTGTCCCAGCAAACTGAGCAAATGACAGACTCTGCTGCCACAGACTCTCCCGTGGAGGGAACAGAAGCCCTGCAGGTTGCCTTGCAAATGCTGCCCCTGTGGCTACAGACACCCCCTTTTTAGCTGAACACCTTGACAGGAGCTTGACCAAAGCAGTGGCATCCTAATGCTCTTTCTGTTTCAAAAGCAGAAACTCAGTCACTAAGAAAGAGCAGGAAGACATACAAAAGCCAGGTTAGGTTACACCCTAACCTAAGCAGAAGAGGAAACATCTACTTACGTGCGAAGTGTGTAATGAAATAGGCACCATAAGTAACGCCATATGCGGCGAAAAGGACAGGTGCCAGTCGCTCAATCATTGTGATAGTGGCCTGCAAGTCTGCAGGCTGCGCGCACAGTAGAAAAAACAAGGCTCCTGTCAGTGTGCAAGAGGCCACTAACAAAAGCCTTGCCCAGGAGGATTCTCCTGAACTGAGCAGGCGCTAGGGCTGCTCTGACACTTGGTGCCTTCCGTGCACCAAGGCACCCTTCTGATGTCACCACGACAATGTGGCAACCATGCCCTGACATCACAAAGCAAACGCTCCATGTTGCTCTGTGAGTTTTTGCCAAGCACTAACCAACCTTCCCTACAGCAAACACAAAAGAGCCTGGGAAGTTCTCCTCTGTCACAAAGCAGCACAAATTCCCCTTGTGGGCCAAAGCCTGTTGTTCAAGGGATCCAAGAGGAACTCCAAGAGTGCCCCAAGCACCTACAGCCTGTACCCCAACTGAGCACTCAAATGGGACCCAGGCAAATGAAATCACACCAAGAAAATGGCGCAAAGCATTGCCCATCTGAGAAACAACCCTTCTTTTAACTTTTTAAAGGTTTATTAAACCTTAACAAAGGACTGAATAAGGAAAGATGGCAGCACTGGGAGTCTCCATGATTAGCAGCCACATGCTCATCTACAAAAGGGATGCTCTGCTTTCTATACCCTTAGCGCCTCGCAATGTTTTGTCAGTCAACTCTTTCTCTGCTGTCCATTGGTGGAGATTACTTTCTTACATCTTGATTGGAGGTCAGGGGTTGTTCCACCCCTCCTGCTGGTCACAAGCCAGCCCTCCCCAAATGCCCTGACTACCCAGGCGATTACAAGGGGGATAAGAAAGAGGACTATGGGAGGACATATTACAATAACAGCACTTTCCATTTGAACATAATATCTGTCCACATAATAGCTATCTCCTAATTGTGAGAGCCAACTATTACATTACTCACCTATAATGCACAGAACCAGGAGAGAAGGCACTGTTGGCATCACAGCTGAAATCATTCCTAACATATCCCCCCACATGTTTGCACATTTATTGGACATGGCCAGGACTCCTGTGGATGTACATCTCTGCCTTTCTTCCCCTTGGGAAGCAGTCAACCTGGAACTCGTGGGGAAACCAAGGGCTTTGTGGGGGCTGCATTTCTCTGCACACACCCAGGCCAGGCGTGGCACAGAGCTTTGGTGCCTGAAAAGGTCAACCAGAGGAAAACAGCTGGAAAAGCTTTCATTTTGACCTTTCTTACCTGCTAACAGAAGTTGCCAAAATGAAAGTTACCAAGCGGGGCCTGATCCCTGCTGCCAGCTGAGCGTTAGAAAGGAGGCATCACTTTATTTCAGTGCTGGGTGCATAGGGAATCACTTCCCTAAGGCCTGCACAGCCAGCAATCCCACCTACCAGTTTGTATGCATGGAACTAAGACATGTTCAATACTTTGCTGAAACTCACAGGCTAAACATTACTCCAGATTTCTTGACATATTTCAATCACTTCTCAGAATTTATTGGCATCAGGGTAGGAGTGTCCTGTAGGTCCCTGGTGGTCGCTGCCACAGGTTCAGGAGGAGACCCATGCACAAAAGAACCTAGGACACAACTGAGCTCGCAAAGCAAATTTATTCCATTAGTTGCAGTAGCAAATAATACATACCAACCCCTGGATTCCCAAAAATCCACTGAGCAGAAGAAGGAGATATGGAGAGTGGTGCTCGGCAGCAGGGGCAGGTAGGCAGTGCACTTCCAGGACATCCCCTGGATTAAAACAGTGTGCATCTCATCCTTCTCACCCTTCCAGCTCAGAACCAGGCCTTGTATCTCCTGCTCAGGAGTGCCATTTTCCCAGTTACGGCATCAGCTCACACATGGCTGACTGTGAGATGATGGCTCAGGATGACTCCATGACTCCCTGCCACCAAGGGCTCCATTATGCACTGTTCCCCTTTCAAAGCTTGACTGCTCACCGATTGACCAATAGATTGTTTCTCTTTCAAGGGTCAAGGTCCCACCTGTTAAACAAGACACTTTTCTTCATTGTCTTGTCAACCTGCTCAAACATGGATCAAATATGGCAGGGCCTGGGACACGACTCCAGTTCCTGACACAGTCATTTGGGAAATAATCCCATTGCTCAAACTCTCCTTTGGTGGCCAAGAGCCTCCTAAAAACACTTTCTTCCGTTTCTTTGTTTTGTTTGTTGTGTTTAATAGCATTCTGCTTGACTGCTGAACATCATTGGACTGAAGTTTGTGTTTACACAATGAGTTCCTAGGTGTCTGTTAATCTAGTATCCCAACTCAACTGCTTTTCTGGTTGCTAAAAACAGCTACCATAAAATTGCCTGTGGAATATAATTGTAGCTTTTATTTTCTTAAAGCACAGCATGTTTGGAAAAACAGAGGGATACATTTAAGGTACATGAAAATGATCTAGGAACAGGATCAGTTTGCATAACAAAAATAAAAGTATCTAAAATGGGTGGTTTCAAGACTGTATTTCAAAATCAGATGGGATAAGATGGCAGCTATGAATGCAATTTCTGCAATATTTATTTTCTAGATGTCTTGCTAGGAAAAAGAAATAATGCAATTAAGGTTGGAACTTGAGAAAGGAGAAGCTCTTCCTCAACATCTGGAGATTGAAATGACATTTGCTAGAAATGAAGCTAATTTACAGCTGTATTCTGCAGAGCATGAACTGTGTGATGCAAAAACCAAAGTTATGGAACTTCAACGTAATCTTCAAAAAAAAAAAAACAAACACAAGCCAGAGGATACATCAGTCCCAAGTCATTAAAAAAGCAGAGATTGCACAAGGTTTTACAGTGACAGCGTTTTTTGAAAGTCTCTTATTTTCTTATTTGCCCATGTCTTACTCATCTGCTTCTATAAGCTCATAAGAGTTTGCAAAACCCTTGCTGTCTCGTACCAATTAAATATAACCTGCTAAACCCATCAATACCTTTTTTTTTTTTTTCTCTTGCTCCTTACCTTCTGTTATTCCTTCCTTCAGTGGGTACAGAATTGTAATTAAGGAGTCCCTCTCCACTTCCTGCTTATCACTATATCCAGCCATTCTTCCTTTTTATTTTCAGGGGGGAAAAACTAAAATCAAATCCTGTTTATTTGTTTATGCTCTTTCCAAAAACTTTTTCTTTTCCCCCAGGAGTTCTCATCATGCTGCTTTTCTCTTTCACCTTTTCAGATATTTCTAGCTTTTTCTTGCTCATATCTGGCCTCTTCATGTCATCTTTGGGTTTGTTTTTATACAAATAACATGGGTTATGACAGTAGTATGTGGAAAGGAAGGGTTTTACCTACATATTTTTCCCCTAGTAGTTTTGCATTCACAAACTCAAATTTTCTTAATCCTTCTCAAACAGAGAGAGATTTCTCACTCTTAAAAGCTGGGGAGTTTGTTTTGTTTTTTTTTTTTCTTTTGTTTCCTAAGTAAATATAATACTGTTTAAATTCAGTACAGGAAATGTGGTTTTGGTGTTCACTGAAAAGACTGGAGGACTCCTGGAGTTTGTAAGCTTACAAGGGTGGAAGGAGACTCTGAAACTTGAAAATGCATTTAAACTGCCATATTTTTAAAAAAAGATAATACGAATTCTGCACTTTCAGTCATTTGGAGAACACACAAATTACAGAAATCTTGGTTGCTTTAAATTTCTCAAGCTGTTTTTTTTTGGTTGTCTTTTTTTGTTTGTTTTATTCTTTGTTGTTTTGTTTTTCCCTGGTTTGGTTTTGATTGTGACAAATGTCAAAGAAGCCAAATAGTTGTAGTCTTCTTCTCATTTCTTTTTCAGTTTTTAACTTACTGCTTCTTCTTCCCTATCCCTTGGAGCCTTGCTCACCTCATGTGGTGTTTTTGATACAACCTCAACTTAACTTCTTGGACAGAGCACCTCACTTGTGCCCTTTCATTAGTATTTTCTCCAAGATATTTTTCTGCTGCTCTTCTTCAGGTTTGACTTCCTGACATCTGACAGGTCTATTCCATCATTGTGTCCACAAATTCTCTGTGTTTTCCCAACATGTCTCTTCTGGTTTTCTCACCCTTCTCCATCTAGGAAGAAATTGCAGAAGAGTAGGATGAATTTGAAGTAAAAATCTCTTAGAAAGTGGTGATCACATAAATGCCAACATAGCTAGTTGTACTCAGTAACATAAAAAAATAGTACAAAATATTTTGACTGAGTTTGTGAAATGAAGCAAAGTTCCTAGTAAAACTGCTTTTAGAAAAGAACTCTTCCTTGGCATTTAAGCTTTCACAGGGAAGTAGATCCAGTATTTCCCTATCTTGGGGCAGCCATTGGGCTGAAGATCTAAATCTCTTGAGCAGCAGTAAATTTCCCCAGAAAAGCTAAGCCTTTGCTCATTAGCTCAACCTGCCTAAGGTTCTCCTAGAATCATTTTCATGTGGCAGGTGGCTGTCTCTATTGTTACTTAAACTGAGCTTGAAATTAATTGATACAGACTGAAATATCTCATAAATATTTGGCAATAAGCTAGCCAAGTCTTACAGGAAAATGTAATTAAGTTCCCTATGCTATAGAGGCCTCACTTGAAAGAGTTGAATTTTTATTCCTTTCCAAAGGGAGAAGAGCTTAAATTTGAAATCTATGTTTTTGAAATCTAATTTTTTCAATGCTTTTGAGAAATCTCCAAAGCAATTCTATGTCCTTGTGTGAAAGATGCTACAGGAACACAAAATGTGATTGTTTCTCTGTAGTGAAACTGGAAGTTTCAGTTACCATTCCAGTGTTTCACAGGATACCACAATACACAGAGGAACTTATGTTCATGATACCTTTTTTTTCTGGACATGCTCATTTTTTTCTTTCTCTTTTTCTCTTTTTTTTGTAAACAACAGTAATGAATGACAACTATCAGCAGAAAGCATCAGGGACTGAGAAAATAGTTCAAAGTGATCAGTGGCAGTTTCAAGAGGAGCAACAAAGATTTGCAGTGGAGAGGGATAACATCCACAGAGTACACCTTGCTGAGCTAGAATTCCTTTTTAAAGAAAAAGCTGAAGCAGAAATGGCTTTTCAGGTATGATGTAGTAATAGATAGAAAGTTCCATGAGATGCTGGCTGAAAGTTTTTTGATGCAAAGTGTATGGTGGGTTGGAGTTTTTCTGGTTTAATGGAGAAAAAAATCCCCCAAATAGCTAAATACTGCAGAATAGTTCTGAAGATTACAGAAGTCATGAAGTTACAGAATTATGAAGTTACACTTGGTGTGTAGTACTGGTTTGGGGCTTTGATGGAAGGTGTTGTGCCTGTTTGTCATGGGAAACACCTAACCCAAGTTATCAGTACACAATGGTAGTGAAAACAGGAGCTTGTGAACAGGACAGGAGCTGTGGACAGGACCTAATGTCCTTCTCAAAAGAAGCCAGTTTTTATTCAAAGCTGATTCTTGCAAAGGTAGGGCAGGATATAGGCTGTGAAGAAGCCTACTTTTAGATAGAGCTTTCTTTTTTAAGTTGCCAGGGGCAGCAGGGTCAGCTCTGAGTTCTGCCTAACAGTGAGTGGCTGAGTTAGTTTGAGGAGGCTCTGGAAGGGTATTGCCTTCTGTTGTGCACAGTGTTTTGTAGAAGCTACCTTCAGAGAGTTTAATGCTGCATCAAAAATCAGTGTTGGAAAAGTATGCCATGCTCTGTCGAGTGATGTTTGTCCTTGAAAAAGGACAAAAGGAGGAGTGTATGGCTCAGGACATTGTCTTCTCTGTCAGTTCCTTGGCAGTGTTCTCTGACAGTGGTTGTAGAGGAAGGGGTTTTGTTGGTTAATGTATTAAAGCTACAAAATTGTAGGAAATGTAATTCACATGAGTAGACTAAGATTGCCATGAATGCATCTAGCTCGTTAAACAGGCCAGAGTGAGCTGTAGGGTTTCAGAATCTTGATGTCACTGGACTCAGAAGTCTTTCAGGACTTTCAAAACTCACTGCAAGGAAAATGCGATTCCCTGCTAGGTGTCAAACCCTAACCTGCCTTCAGTAGTAAAAATGTTACATTTTTCCACTTTGCTTTTGTAGCTGTTCCCCTGCCCACCACCCTAGAGTTATGTTATGTATGATTATAAAATGCTGGGAAATAAAAAATCTTACATCTTGATTGTCCTTGACTGCATGGAAAGCTTAATTCATTTAAGCTTGTCAGATGAACATCAGAAATATCTGGGTTTATAAATGATGACTTGGAATGCATTGCAGTCTTTTGTGTTGTGTATTTATAGGCCCAGTTTAAATCCTTTAGTTATTCTGAGTTTTAAAATGAAATGAGTTCTAAAATGAAGGGAGATTTAATTGTGGTCTTAATACGTGCAGAGAAGTGGGATTCTGAGCATGTAGGCAAATCCTGGCTGGAAAAACTGCACTGCACAAACCGTAATTCTGAACTTGGCGGTGAAAATGCTGAGGTAGGCGTGGGAGTGGAGTCATGGAGTATTGAAATGTGCCTCTGGAACGAGCACACAGGAAAAATCACCCTCCCTGCTTTGTGACAGGATCTATTGGGTGGATCCTGGCCTGGGATAGGAGGGGTTGGATTTGGTAGGAAGGGCAATAGCATCAGCTCGTGGTTAGGCAGGAGTTCATATCCCTTCACGATTTTTTCCTTCAAATACTTGGGAGATTGTGTCGTTCACAAACAGTTTAAAAAAAAAAAAAAACCAAAACAAAAAAACAGCTGTGTTTGTCATGAGCAAATATTTGTATTTGCAGGTGTCTACGGGGATAGTATTCAACAGTTATATCACCTCCAAAAAGTTCAGAAATTCTTCAAAATTCTGAAATCCTACAGCTCATGCCGACTTGTTTAACGAGCCTAATATACTCACAACAATTTTAGCTTTCTAATGTTAATTATATTTCCAGTAGAAAATATTTTAAAATTTTTTGTTGCATTTCACAGCAAACTATTTGTTACTTATTTCACATTTCCCAGTTCACATTTGTTAATATTTGGAAGATAAATCTGAGGAAATAAATATTTCTCTATCTTTCCAGTTATCGAGAAGAAATGTTAGAAAATGTAGAAAACAGTTAGTTCATTTGGGCTTCTTTATTTCTTTATTTTGCATTGTGAAGGGTAGAAACCTGTCTTGCTGGATGTGCAAAGCTAGAGGATTAGCTTAAATTTAATCCAAATTCATATGGACAATGGGGATTCTGTAGCAGTGACTTCATGGAGCTGCAGTGTCCAGTAATGTCAATAATGCTTCCAGCCTCTAGCTGAGTTCAATTTCTGTATGCAGAAATTGAAGTGGGGACCATCTTCTTTTATTCTACTGAGGACTTCATAAGTTTTTAACCTCAGTTTCTAGAAAGAAGAAAATGCTTTTCAGAAAAGCAGAAATCAAAATTATTTAGTCTGTGGGACTAACTGTTTCTAAAAACATCTGAAGTTTCAGCAATCAAAATCATAACAAAAATGAACTTATGTCCCCATGCATAATTTCCCCAAATGACCTCTGTTTCTATCATTGCCACTGAGCTGGGAGACAGAAGAGATTGGAAGGGCTGTACTCTTTTAGGGAAAGGTTTCCAGTGGAGATCTGGCTCTGATTTTAGTGTTACCACAGAAGATCATGTTCACAGTGATTTTTGGGCCAACACAGATTTCTTGGTGGTGAATCAAAAGCACGTCTGCTGTTGGGTAAACACTTCTGTTGACGGGTGCTGGCGTCGTAGATTTTAAAATCCTAACATCATCTTCTGATGCAGTCTCCATTCCTCTCAAACTGCAGTTGAACTCTCAACTGCAATACTTTATCTTAGAAAAAGTGCCTCTTGATGTATTGATTTATTCCTTTACCTATTTATCTTTAGAAAACTAATGCTGCCCTGCAAAGCACTGCCAAGAAGTTGAAGGATATGGAGGCAGAGCACAATGGCTGCACCAAGGTGCTGAAGCTCCAGGCCGCCTGTCTGGAAATCAAGAATAAACGTCAGGAGAGGCTCCTCCAAGAACTGGAGGTAAAGCTTTCTGCCTGCTGCTGGGAGCCTCAGCAAGCACTGGCACAACTGAGCAGTTTCATTTCTGAGGGGTGAAACCTCTGAGTTAGGCTATGGGTGCCCCGTGTTTGATTAACAAAATGCAGAGCATCGCTTGGCAGGAAAGGTGGATTCACAGGTGAATGCTGCGAGCCTGACCTGAGAGTGGTGTTTGAAGTGCAGATGGAAAGGGGGTTATGTCACTGGGAAAGTACTCTTAGCAATATGGGTACAGAGGGAGTATTTGCGCAGGATTTGTGATTTTTTTATTTTTTATTGCAGCATCTTAAGCAGATAGATCTTGTGGGAGGAGGCAAAGCTTAAGCCTTTTGGCTGATGCTTTTGTGGAGTGGGTTTGGTAAGCTCTGTGCTGTGACTTTCTCTTTAATAGGCCTTCCACAGATCTCTGTTTCTCAATTATTTCCTTTTGTGAATGAGTGAGCTAATACAGAGTTTACATTTATTGCCAACAGCTCGTATGTTCATTTTTTGTATTTATTTATTTTTCAGTTAACGTTTCCCTAACTGAAGTGCTTAGAGTTAGGATTCAGTCTCACATGCTTGCTCCTCTGCTTTACCTGTCCAAAATCAATGACTTGACTTGTATCTGTGTAACCTTGAGTGTCTTAAATTACTTTTAATATGAATGTCCTTTTCTTCATCTTTCTGGCATCACTTGAAGGCAGAAGTCATTTTGGGGTGTATTGTTCTTTTCAAATCAATCATCAGTCAAAGTGAGATGATGCTTTTGAAAGGAAACAATGTAGTTGAAATTTCCTGTGAATTTCTATTATAGAGGCTCTGTAGTTACTGCTTCTGCTAAAACCATTTTTTCAACTGAAATACCATGTCCAGGCCTTTATGTAGAGACAGGTATCTGTGACTCTAAAAACTGTAGCAAGAACATAATCCTACATCAATTTCTTTAACTAAATAGAAAATATGACTTTAATATCCTGGATATGTAATTGTTTCCTTTTATTTATTTATTGACATGAGTTTTCACAGTTCCAAAGTGCAAGTAGTTCAGATACCACAGGTTGGTTTATGGAGCCCTAATAAACTGAAGAAATTAAGTTGTCTTTGCATGATGTTATCATCTTTCTGGACTTAGATATTTTTTAAATGTACTTCCTTTTAGGCAGCTGCAGTGAAAATAAAGGAACTGGAGGATGATGCTGCAGCAACAAGACTTGCACATGTAGAATGTAAATACACTACAGAAGTCATGCAGGTAAACTTTTGATTAAATATTTGGTAGAAGTTTGCAGTAAAATAGAAGATGAAATTGTAAAGGTGCAATTTTTTAAAAATGTTAAGATTTCCTTGCTCCAGGGGAAACACTGAGCAGATTTTTTGCAATGATTGTCAAGACTGTAAAAAGTAATAGAAAAATATCTCCTTGATTTCCAGGGAACCATCACGTTAATAGAATCAATAGTCAAATAAAATGTCACATTCTTGTGTTTTACAATTCAAAGGAGCATTGAAAGAGTGAGGGAAAAGGAAATGTTTCACAGTAGTTAAACTGCTAAAATATTCTGTCCTATATCTTTGGAATGGGCACTTAGGTAATTTCAGATAGAGTGCATTCACCCAGCTTCTCTAGGTGTGAGATATTAATGCATCCTGAGACTGCACTTCCAAATGTAACTATTCAGAATACATTTCAGCTATTACATCTGCTGTTGCCAGAAAAGTTTGAATATATGAAAAAATGCGATATGCATACTTGAATATTAAATTTTTGTATTACTAAACCGTGTCACACAGGGTTTGATCCATTAAAGCAATTAGGGTTTATTAAAAAAAATAAGTGAAAAACCCTGTAAGATAATTGTTGAGTGATCTTGTACTGACTAACGAAGCCTTCCTAGTGGATTTTTGAAGAACTAAATGAGAAAACAAAAGGGAATTTCATCTTTTTTTTCTGGTTTTCTGAGGAACACAAACAAGCATTGCCACTTCTTCAGTCAGTTATTTTCTTATGACCTTCTCTAAGTACAGGCATTTGGATTTCTGAAGTGATGATTAAATAAATTGTGATGATTCAGGTTCTTTTATTCCCTCTCTACTTTTACAACATACAAAGGAGCTGGAAAAGTAACATTCCGTGAAGTTAGAGATTTATCTTTTATGGGTGAAGAGGTCAGAAGGTTTTCTTCCTTGTTTATGTACATGAACAAGCTCCACATGAGCTTTGCTCTGAGTGCAAGTGTAGCTTTTACTGTTAATCCCACCCTTTTATGACTCTACTTCATGAATAGAATTCCCCTGGAAAACTTCTGTAAAATAAATAATGGAAAACAGGAAAATCCAAACACCATGCAAGGAGAACCAAATGTGCTTTTGGTCAACATATCTATTTCTTTCTGTTTTGAACTCTGTGTATTAATCCATTTTTATGTGTGTTAAATGCTTTCTAATTCCATATAGAATTAATAGAAGATATTCACCTATAAAAAGCAGAACAGAACAGTGAACAGCATTCAAGACCATGGTAGTCTTTCCTAACTTCCTTTAACTGCAGTCCTATCACTTGGTAGTTGAGAATTCAAGAACTCGAAAGGATTTTGAATGAAGAGCAATGCGGCAGGAGAGAAGATTTTCCAGAAGGGATAGCAAGGGAAGATTTCAGAGAGCCAGTAAATGCACTTGAGACAGGGAAAAAAGCCTAAGTTTCCTTTTGAAGCCATTGTAAAATGGCAGTAGACAGCCTCAGTACAACTCGCAGTTTACAGTCCCTGCATTTTTCAGTCAGCAGAAAATCTGGTGCAATGTGCCAAACCAAACTAAAGGTTCAGAACCTGGCAGTCCATTAATAACAGGCCCATATCAGTAACCAAAGGTATCGTGAATGGTACAGATAATAACTGGCCTGTTACAGATTATTTGCCAAACCAAAAATTTTGAAAATCATAGTTATGGTTAGGTCCAGCCTGCAGCAGTGGTTGGGGTGAGTGTAGGAAAAGATATCCAGCAGGTCTAGAAAAGATGGCTTTTCTATATACACTGATATTATTATGAAAACATTGTTTTCCACTTCAGTGAGTCAGTTGGATCTCTAAGACTCCTGTCAAGAAGTTCAAGTGTATCATTTATAGTGGATAATCTTTGTTTTCAACTTTTGAATAGCTGTAGAAAGCTTTAAATGGTTAAAAAATATTGAAATGAGTGAGATCAGAGGAAATCTCTTGGGATGTTTCCTGGCCAGCACAGTCTGCTGTGCCTGTGGTAGCAGAACTTGGGTGAGCTCTCTTTCAGCCTAGAGCTATATGGCTCTGTATACTCAGGTGTTTATGTTGACTTGCACAAGTAGTAGTGGAGAATGAAAGAAACTGGTTTTTCCTACAAGAAAGGAAGTTTGTGGCCTGAGCAACTCATACAAGATTCATGGTGATGGAGATGTTTTTTAGTAAGATACTTAAAACTTGAGCTGGAAAAGCCTTTGTCATCCTCTGCATCAAACATCAATTTGAAGCAAGCTTTTGGTTTTCCTGACACTGTGCCTAAATACTCAGGCAATCTTTTAAAATTCTTCCTTGGATTCTCTCTCTGTACTTCTGTGTCCTTTATGCTATTGTTTGGCCTTGGAGTTTCCTCATCAGCTGCCTGTTTAGTCATGCCAGGCTCTTGATATATCTGTTTTCCTGACTGACACAGTACAAGAACAGATTAAAATTCTGGGCAGTTTGCTTTAAAAGCCAGACGCAGTAGAGTCAGGCATGTGGAAACTTTAAGAGCAAGAACTGTACTTGAAATCAGCATTGATGATGCAAGATGTGACATGGTCTCTCTGAAGACAGCTGTTGTGTTAATTAAAATATGAAAAATTCTGTTTGTTATATGTAACTTTGAGGCCACATCCAAATAATCTTATGAATTGCATGCCACGAGGCTTGGTAACTGAAAATATTACCTCTTGAAAAATCGTTCTTAGAAGGAATATAAATTTCTTCATTCAATTCAGAAAGGCAAGCAGCTTCAGAATCCATGTGATGTGCTGAAGTAGTATCTGCCAAATCCATTGATTATCCTTTAAAAGAACACAGGGCATTTGACAAAAGTAATTTTGGTTAAAGTATCTTTTTTGTGGAAACTTTCCAGTTCACGAAGACAGCGTTTATCCTCCGGTGTGCAATGGAAAGACCAGGTTGAGGAAAGGAAGAGAGCTCAAGATTCCAATGCAACATTAGTGGCTCCTCCAGACAGCTTCAGCCTGCATGAAGGCTCAATAGTAAGGAAAAAGAGCCTCCATAGGAAATAGTAAATTGGAAAAAAAGCTCAATAGTAGGGAAAAAAATGTGGCACACTGTTGCAGTGTGATGCCACTTCCTGTTTCACCTATCCCAACCCCTCAGGTGTGCCAACCTTTCCTTTCCCCTTTTGCCCTCCTGCTAAGAGCTGTCCATCAATCTTAACATTCCAGCAGGGTCATGGTGTGGTTGGCAGAAGTTCAAAAGATGCCCCTCAGGTCCGGGCTCATTGGCCTGTCCAAGTGTCTGTATCCCTTGAGCCTTCCCCTCCTCACACCTGGTTGGTGCCTCACCTGTCCCTTCCCCTCCCCCTGTCCCCGGGGCTTAAAAGGAGACGGGACCATGCGGTTGGGATTCTACTGGGAGCTCTTTCAGAGGTCTACCATCCTGGAATAAAACTCTGGATTAAAACTCTACGATAGAATCCTCTCCTTTCTCTTCACTGTCGCCTGAACCTTTTCCACCAGAGGTAGACTGAGTTTCTACTTTGCCTGGATTTGTTGCGAGTGCGCAGCTGCAGCACCCAGCCGGCCAAAGGTATCTCTGAGGTGAAACACCACAGCTGCCGCCTTTGGTCCAGCAGCAAGGGTCAGATGGGGCCAGGCACGTCCCACCCAGAAATATTGGATTAATCATCTATAGCACACATTGCTTAGGTTTTTTAAAACATACTGTCAAAACATTTACTGAGGTGAGGATTTGCTGCATTTGCTGCGCTGAGCTGTAGAAGAATTCTGCCATTCTCTCACCCTTGTTGTTATTATGTTACCTTTAAAAAAATTTACTACATGAATAAATGTAACCAATGCCTTGGAGACGCTAATTTGAAAATATTTTTTAAGTATGGGTAGGATGTACTGGCATTCCTAATTAAGGCATTTTGTAGATATTGATGATCATTTCATGTGAAGAATGTTCTTTCTACCTAACTTTTTTGTCAAGTTTCATTAGCTATCATTGTAGAAATGTTTATTTCTATTTCATACACCCTTTTAGTTTTAGTGCAAGTATTTGACTGTAAAAATTGCTTGAAAATTGTTTCAAGCTTTCAGGTGGAAAAGCAGAGAGGATTTTTTGTTGTTGTTTTGTTTTTTACTTGTTTTGCTGTGGATTTGGCACATTGGATGTATTTCGCTGGATTATTTTCTGAACACTTTCTCCTCTTATATGACCACTTTGGGCTTTTCTACTCTCTTTACCCAGCTACACCTTGAATAACACGTTTGCCATCTTTTTGCATAGCAGCAGGGACAAAGGAAAGTTGTCAGCATGTTTAGAAAATCTCTCCTTTCATTGTGTGGTTACATTTGCTCTCTTTCTACTCTTAGCAATATACATTTTTTTTTTTTGATAGTGGCTTGCAAACTTCTCCTCTTTCTCTGTGAGAGCTCTGAGCATGGAAGGTGCACGAGGTCTGTTCCCTGTGGAGAGGAGCAGAGACCTGCATCAGAGAGTCTTCAGATTTGTGGGTGTCTTTTGTTCACTTGATGGAGTTATTCCACACTTTGTCTTAGTGCTGTCCACTGCCCAGGCAGATCTGTCATTCATAAACTGGAGGCAAATAAAATCAGGATCCTCTTTTTTCTTTCTGGGAGAATAACAGCTTCTTCCATGCAAGCATTAATGTATTAAAAGACATTTGCTGGACTACTTAGCCTGAAAAAGTCATTTCATCAGGCACAAAAGGAATACATACAGAGAAAAGCAACTGTCTGCCCTAACTACAGGCATTAATGATTGCTATTTCTAACTACAAAACACAATTGCAAGCTGAAAATATTCTACTGAAGTGCTTGCTTCCAAACGTGAAGTGCTTGCTAGCTGTTGCTGTGGTAGGAGTTTTCCTTTTTATTTGTATTCCTTAGTAAAACATATGACATGACAAGAACTATGGACAAGATTCCATTCATGATCAAGATTTCTGGTAATGGAAACAGTATTTAATGCTAGACTCAAAATTAATGTTACGTTATTGAAAGGTTAAAAACTAATAATAATTGTCTCACTGTCATATTCATAGAGCTGGTTGTTTTAATTATTTTACTCAAAGGATTTCAAACCACAAGACTGTCCAGAGCAGGTCATTTTTGGAAGAGTTGTATTAGTGGTTGCCTTATGAGATCAGGTATTTATGGCCTTGGATGGCTTTTCATTTTTCCCAAAGCTGTTTGTATTTGTTTGGGAAGCAGAAGTGCCTGTATGTGATCCTGTTTACTCCATTGAGATAGCTCTGATTTTGCTGCCCAAAATGAAAAAGCAGAAGACTGTAGCAGAACCTAAGTATAGATAACATTTAATATATTGCTGTTGGTCTTTGCTATACCCATACTTAAATTGGGTAAAAATGTCAGTGTGTTCTCTTCCCTTCATTTTCCCTTCCTGCTTTCCTGACCTGTACAGTATTTTTTCATATTTTGTACCATTTTTATGCTTCCTGAATATGCTCTTTCCACTCCAGTTGGATAATCTTATCTTGATCTCTGACTGTACTAAGACAGCATTTGAGAAACAGCTTTCTATTCTCTTAACTTAAAAAGTTTCTAAGGCAATTGTATGTACTAAAAGTATGAAGAATTGAATTTCTACTGCATGTTGTTGTTGCTGAAATTTATTTAGAATCTGAATCAATTTCATATACCACTGATTAAAATCACTGTTAATAAATGAGGCATGGCTTGTGGAGTTTGACTGATGGAGCTGTAGGCCCATTTTGGCCAGCTGTTTAATCATATCTAATCCATGCAAAACAAGTTTTTAAAGGAATTTAGAGTGTGTTGTGCTGCCAGGCCAACTGGACAGTTTTCCGTGTGCTGTGCAAGTGTTGGGGCACAATTTGGAGGCACCTCAAGGTATTAACATGAGTGAATGAATTGCATCCACTAAGAGCATGGAAATTTTTATCTGTGCCAGGTCTTGGTTGTGGCCCCCACAGGACTGGGATTTACTCACATACTTTATTTACATACTGTGTCTAATTAGATAAATTTTGGGAAATCTCTTTTCTTACTCTGCTGTAATATTATGCATTATTATGGCTGCAATTATTAGAAATGAACTGAGGAATTTTGTGAAGCTGTGAGAATGAGCCTTGAGGGCTCCTTTTCAGCTGCAGGCAGCTCTGCTACCACACATAGGATGCATCTCTTTTGATTTGAACATTGCCCAGCTACAGCAATTAATTTTTTTCTTTGTGTTCCAGAGGGAGATGTCCATCCTCCTGAACACATACCAGACCCTGGCAAATGCCCAGGTGCTTTCCAGACAGACAAACGTCCCCCTGGAAGAGTTACCTTGGGCAGAGCTTTGTGCCCTCTTGCATGAGAATGTTGAAGCCCTGGTCTCGAACTTCAGCAAGGCCAACCAGAGGGTGAGTGTCCCCAGGCATCAGCTGCCTCTGCTGAGCTCAGTGACATTTGCTCACACTGCAGTCTCGTTAAAAAGGACTGATATTCATCCCCCCAAAAGGATTTGGACACTAACAAATGAGGACCATTAATTCTGGCTTGTTCACTGCTCACTTTGTTGCCAGGGGCATTTAGATGTGACTGGAGTGTGCATCAAGTCTCTCAGCTCCACCTTCTGTGCAGGATATTCTGAAAGGACAATCTGATAGTAGCCACAGGGACCTAATTAAAAGATAATAAATTCATCTTACTGATGAAGAAATTCTCTGAACATAGTCATTTACAGTCATAAATCAAGTCTTTCTTTTACTAGAATCCAGAGGCAAAATACACTTTCTCCAGGAATATCACCTTTTAATTATGTGTTTATGATTCAGTTGTACTACTTGAAAGAATGCCAGTGTGGGGTTTTTTTGTTAAATTGTAACTTTGGATTATGACATTTTTATTCAGAAACACAACAGAAATACCTATTATAAAACATGTCAGGATCTGCATGAAGGAAGAGTTGTACTTTTCTGAGTGGTTTTAAAGCAAGTGAGCTTACATGGCCTTTCTCCCCAGAAAACCTTCTGCTTTTATGAAGGAAAAAACCCCTTTTAAAAGAACTCAGCTGGCTCCAGAGACTAAGCTATGCCTAAAGAGCTCTTTAGGGTATCACTTTGTGTTCTGGTTTATTTCTCTTTTGAAGTAGATGAGGAAAGGGAAGGGAAGGTGAACACTGCTGGCAGCGTTTGTAGGGCTTGTGTCTTATTGTTGCTTGCTTTTTAGTTAAGCCTTGTTATTGAGACTGATTATGAGGTCTCTAGGGCTCTTCTCATGTACTTAGCAGCTTTTCTGGGCTTTTAGACTGTGCTGAAAAAACTTTTTTCCCACACATTCAGTGTGGTCTATCTGGAAGTATCTTGATATTTTCTAGGAACAGAAAGTTCAGGTGTGTGCATTTGAGGATCATTGTTGGCTTGGTTCATTCCTCCATTTAGCTTGCATGAGGTGCAGTGTTCAAGCACAAGGGTGAATCCCTTCATGTTTGTTGAAAATACATCCTCAACTTATGAGCTACTTGTAAGGAAAAAATTCTCTGTGCTAGAATTCCCTGAAATTGTTTTAAAACTTAATAATAAGCTGGAATCTCTTGGCTTTTCAACAAAAGAAAAAAAAACAAAAACCACAAACAAATAAACAAAAAATTAAAGGCTGTGTTTTAATTATTGTTTGCAATCATCACAAACTTCTAAAGGATATACTTGGATTACTAATTTCCTAAAATTGAATACGATCATTAAAAAAAAAAATCTATGACGTGTCTGGCTCAGGTTTCCTGCAAAGAGGGTGACAAATATCTCTGCAAGCTGGTAGAAGGATAGCAAAACTGAAACCAAATAAAATACTTTGTTTCAAAATACATTTCAGTTTTGTTTTCAGAACCAAGTAATTCACCTGCCATTAGAAGGGTTTTACTTAGTTTTAATAAAAATATTGAAAAAACTGCAGTTTAGATTTGATGCTGGAATAGGCTGTGCTTAACCTGAAGTGAAAAGGTAAATAATAATTTCTTCTTAAATGCTTGTCACACAGATATCTCACCTAGAATATATTTGCAAGCACAAGACTGACACTATGAACGACCTTCAGCAGAACCAGGAGGAGGCTTTGGAGAAAATGTCTGAACAGTTAAAAGCACAGGAACACTGGTGGCGGAAAGAAAAGCAGTATCCTGAACAGCAGTACTCAAACGCCCTTGCAGAAGTTCATGCAAGATCACAGGTATGGTGCTGTGAACTTCTAATTGTTTTTTCTTTAAAAATTGAATGGATTATTTCAATAGTTGAAGCCTCTTAGCAGTTAAAGGTCATTTGGGAATTTTAGTAGACGTTTAAAGTTTAAAAAAATCCAAAACCAAACAACAAGCCAACCCATCCCTGTGCTAATATTAACATCACTCAAATAAGAAATAAATGACTTTGATCAAGCATTTGTTGAAGAGAATTTAGTCTGCAGGCCCAGCTGAGAAGCCTGATTTCACCTACAGATGGCAGATTCTTTTTCTGAGAATGTTAAAGCTGTAAGATCAAATTGGCTTGTTTTGAGAATTACTGAGGGCAGCAGCTACTTTTTCAGCATCATCATTTGCAGAGATTGTATAGAATAACAATCATATGGATAAACCTGGGGATAACTTTAGTTACATATGTACTGACCCTAAGAGCAGTGGTAGATTTCAACGGTGTTAAGCAACTCTGTTTTTCTGATACTACAGTGAGGAGTGGCCTAAAAGTGTGAAACTGTCACTCCTTGCTAGATGAGTTATTTGCAATCCAGAATGTTCCCTGTTCTTCCACAACCACCATTTACTGTCTTTATCATCACACTCCTTCGCACCTGTTTCAATTAAAAGCGTTGTGAATAAAGGAAATAGATGTCCCTTGTTATTTGTGAGTTACTGCAACTTACTTCACAGAATAATGCTGTATTTGATGCGGATTTCAAGACTGGAAGTCTTTGCATGCTGAAAAATTTAATCTGTCTGCTTTCATGTTCCAGACTTCCTTATGTTTTTCCTCTCACTTACACTGGGGCTTTCTGCTTGGTACAGCAGTGTTCTCTCTGAAATTGGAGGATGTTATTACTATTGTTAAGTCAATTCATAAAACTGTATTATGGGCAGACAGGTGGTGTTGGACCTTCTGTGAGCTGTCATGGTGTTGGTGGATTGTTTTCAGAAATCAGAAGTCCATTTGCAATTGATTATCATGGAAATTTCCCTCCTACCACTGTTTTTGTTTCAGACATCTAATTCTGTAATTGCTTACTAGAAGAGATACTTTCATCACAATTATTACTAGCAACTTTTGCTCCCTTAGTGCATCATTTGAATGGCAAAGCTAAATTTTCTTTTCATTCTTGTCTAGGTAAAAACCACGTAGTTATTGTTTCTTCCATTATTGTTTGGTTTGTTTCTGTCGCAGGAATGTGAAGAAACGGCGCAGAAAAAGAGGCAAAAACTCTATGGCCTCGAACAACTCTCCGACAAACTGGCCCAGGAAAACAATTCCTTGAAAAAGTCATTATTAGATGCTTTCAAGGCACGCTCATCCCTGCTGGCAGCCTGTGCGCTGCTGTCAGGGGCCCTGTGCTCTCTCTACGGCCGACTGTGCGCCACGTCTTGCCAAAGAGACATTCTCCAGGAACAGGTGAACCAGCACCAACTCCTGAACCACAAGATCGTCAGCCTCCTTTATGCTCTCCCTGCTGTGGTGGAAAGAAACCAGGACGAAGGCAGGCTGAGGCAGAGAAGAGCCAAGAACCTGGTTTATGTGTTCCGAAGAGCTGTGATCGCAGTTCTGGCTGCTAACAGGCTGAGGGCTCTGGCCCGATATTCTTGTACATTTTTCATCTGGACAGATGGATGCAGAGGAAGCTCTGGAATTCAAGTTTGTCTGGGAGAATCCAGAGGCAGGCATCCTGTGCCATGTAAGTGAAATCTTCTTAAAGAGTTAAATCAAATTACACGCTTAGGGAATAACAAAGAGGAATAATATTTTTCTTGCTGGGGCATAAAGACATATTTAATGACATTTTGACAAATGTTATTTACAGATTTATGTTTTTATATTGCTTGACGAATTGATTTCAATCTAAGAGGAAATGCCCAGTCTTATGTTAAACATTGCAGGTAAAATTGCAATTATGCACATGAACTCAACACTATCTGGTGGTTTTGATATTTGTGTTATGGATTTCAGAATTAGGTGCTACAGCATCTTCTCTGTGGTAAATATCTTGCAATGTTCCTCTTTTTTTTTTTTGGAAAAGGTATTTCCTCTTTTCTTAAAAAGAATTTTTCATATTTATTTCCTAAAAATCCACAAAAATTGCTTTCTGATTCAGGTAAAATATTAGCATAGGATTTCAAAATTTTCTTTTGAGATTATGTCTAGATTGCCCCTTTCTGTTGCCAGACCAGTTTAGATTTCCCTCTACAATGATAAATGGCATTAAAAATGTTTTCCAAATTAGAAAATTCATTGACTTTTTTTTTTTTTGAGTCATTCTGAAAGCACGCTTAAAACAGTCAAAATTGTCCTGACTGATTTCTTGTTTATATGCTTATTTTTGGTTAATTTCTGAAACAGCTGGAGGCAGCAGTGTGCCATAGTTTAGTGATTTACTTATCCTGCTAGCTGCAATTCTCTTTCACAGGTTTTGCAGAGGAAGGAGTTGACTGGATTGAAGCACTTCACTGGTTGTCTAGCTCTAACCTCTAGACTGCAATAATCAGTTCCATCTCAGAACTGCAGGGTGTTCTCAGCAACCAAGGTAATTTTAACTGTATATTGTTGTAGCAGAAATATAGTTAAAAAATAAGTAAGTCAGGGTGGTCATATCATTTCCATTTTTATGATTTTATCTAAACTCTTCTGGATCATAGCTCTGAAGAGATATTTCTGATATTTATGATAGACGCCTTTGACTAGAGGTTATATCCTGAGCTAGTCAATTGTAGCTAGTCAACAAATTGTAGGGGGGCTGTTTCCCTGAAAGAGTAATTTGATTACAGGGTAAAATAGTTCCTCTTTTCTACATTCTCTCAATGATCACATTTCTGTACTGTTGGAACAGATTCATTTTCTTAAGCAGCTGATAGGATATTTTATCCTTTCAGTATATAGAGTCATGGAAGCTGAAGGCTGGAGAGTGTTTCTGGACTTTATTTACAGTGAGAACTGATACAGGTTCCCTTGGTTCATCTGCATTGCTGCCATCCCTGGTTCTTTATTAACCTCTACTTTTAGAATCCCCACATTTTTGTCCCAGAAGAAAGGATCTTAGAAGAGGGATAATTTATGTGAATAAAGGGAAATAACAGGACAAAGACAAGATGATGCATTTTCCAGAAGCCTAGACCCTAAATTGGTATCAAAGTTGCCATTGAATCAAATGGGTTTGGATTCACTTTCAGGCCCTTTCTTCTTTGATCATGCTGTTTTCAAGAAATTGAATTCATATCCTTTAAAAGCAAAGTTGGAACAGTGGTTCAGATTCAGCATTCTGTGATTCAGAATATTTACAGCTTCCATCCTGTAGAAGTGAAAAAGAACGTGATCTTACAAGAAACGGGAACTAATAACCTGCTCGATGTTTGCTTTGTCTTGTTTTTTTCTTCAAGATTCAGAGCTCTGGCTTTCTAGTAACTCGCTGATCGGCACAGCCAGGAACTGCTTTACACAACTGATGGACAACCTGAGCGTTCTGATGGAGACAGTTCAAGGGAACGCTCGTGGGTGCAGAGCCTACCTGGAGAGGGACTCGCTGATAGAGAGGCTGGCTCGTGGCCTCCAGAGAGTAAATGCTAGGCCCTGGAAGCTGGATTCCATGACAGACTGCCCAGCACAGTAAGCAGATTGACAGTCCTCCTCCATGGAAACAGAAGGTTTACAGCAACGGTGAAGCTCCCTTGATAGCAGCATTTCTTTGGTTTCAGGCTGGTGATGAGTCCAGGACAGTCAAGTGCTACTATATGGACACTCCACAAGTTGATTTGTCACACATTAGGGTGTGAATAGGTCTTTTCTTTTATTGAGAAAGAATTCTTGGAGGAGGTTTAGTGTATCCAAGTAAATGATTTTTTTCAAGTTTTATCAGATCTGTATTAGCTTATAAGAACAAATTGGCTTGATGTAAATGTTAAGGTTGCTTTTTATTATTATTTTCTACTTTCTCATGCTTACCATCCTTTCTTTCAGTAAAGATAACCTTCCCTTTAACCAAAATGAAAGGATAAACTCTTTCTCTAATCATCTTCATAGTAAACCTTAGGTGAAAAGAGTAGTTCCTTGTAAACAGAATTTGCAGTAACCCTTGGTAGGTGACAGGTTCAAACTTTTGTCCTTGTGCATGTCTTTTAGAGATGGAGGAAAAAATTATGTTTTCTTTTTCTTGAGTCTTAAGTCTTATTTATTTGATTGCTAAAATAGCAGATTTTATAGCCCATCAACTTGTTTCTGTTTGCTGACAGAGAAACATAGCAACTTTGCAGCAAGAAATATTTGAATTTTCACAAAGGCTTCATGCAGCAGAGATAGAGTCCCACTCACTGCACCTGCAGCTTGCAGAATGCAGATGGGCTTCAACGAGATGCAAAAAGATGCTGAAAAACCCCACAGACTGCAGAGCCAATTAAGTGAAGTTCAGCAAGTAAGTGCATTTGACTTGGAGGCTCTCTTGCTTAATAGAGATTCTCCTTTCTACAGTTTTTGATTTGTGTTCTTTTGGAAAACAAGCATAAAATTGATTTCCTTTCAACAGAATTTTCCAGAAACCTTTGCAGCAATGCAGCCGTGAGAAAGACGTCCAGCTAGCCGACCAGCACCGCTAGCAGCACAGGGGGCACTTGTCCCCATAGCTCAGCTTCGGGACAGCGCCTAAGGCCAACGCCCAGCTTGCGGCTGTCAGCGTTGCCTTGTGCAGGACGAGACCGTATTGAAGCTGCAACCAGCGCAATAAGAGGGCGGACTCCAGCTGCGGTTTTATCCAGGGTTTAGGGAATCCCAGGGGAACCAGCAGGAGAAGACGGGGAGGAGGGGATTTACAGCGGTTTTTAAAAGCTGGAGGAGGTAAGGGAGGTGCCAGACCTAGGACCAATAGAGACACAGTGGGGAGTGGGATCCGAAGGACTGACACAGGGAAAACACCAATGGGGACAATACTGAGGAGGGGCCCCGGTCCTTGGACCAATCATCCAACTCTCCAGCTGGAAACTTCTAGCAACAAAGGTGGGGATGGAGAGTGACTGGCAGGGCACCGGGGAGGGGTTGAGAAAAGGATACATTGGTTTCTGGGGAAACCGGGGAGGAGTTTTAAAGGATACAATACCAACTGAGATGGAGTTAGGGTGACAGACACTAACAGGGATGGGAGGGAGAACCAGGGCAGAACCATTGTCAAACAAGGGGGGAACAGAACAGTCCAACTTTAACCGAACACGGTACAACAAACCTTGCCTGGAAATGTCACTAAACCAAAAGACAGATTTATTTAGAAATATCCCTTTTCCACTGGAGTTATCTTTTGATTTGTAGAAGGAGGTATCCTGTATAAATTAGAGTTTGGTCTTCAGCAATCCAGGTTCTGTCATTTGTTGGAAATGTTGATCTGATTTATGTATCCTAAAAGAAGATTTCACTTCAACAGAGTAAAGTCAGTGGGAATGGGGGTATTCAATAGGAATGTTAATGAAATATAAAGATAGCAGTTGAAACTCTGTATGGATGTTGATGAATGTTATAATAAATACAATACAAATTTTAGCGGGTCTGTTTCCCTGAAGAAGTAACTTTATGGCAGGGGGAGGAAAAGCTTTTGTCTATATTCTCAGTAGCACAAAATTCCCCTGAGTCTTTTGCTGTTGCTGATTGACTTACCGAGACACTGTGGGTTCCCTAACCTGAAGCCTAGTTGGTAGAACCTGTCAGGGTGTCCCAATCCAAACACTTCTAAGCAAGGAATATCTGCTAGATGATGTCTCACCCGTTGTCCTTCCTGTTCCTAGCTAGTAAAATGGATTTTTTTTTTTTAACTCAAAAATCTCTAATCATCTTCAGTTTTGTTCTTAACAGGTTTTATGGCCTTAGTGGTTTTGGACTGTTAGATGAAAATTATCACATATTAGATTGTAGTTGAAATGCAGATGACAACTTTCTTTGAAGAATTATTTCTTTCTGGAACAGTTTTTGGACAGGAAGAACAGTCCACAAAGGTGTTTACAAGGGTTAAGAAGCTCTCCACTAAAATTCTGAACATTGATCTGCATATTTTTCCTTCTAAATACTGAAGTTTTGCATCCCACAGTGCTAATTAGAATAGAATAATGAATGCCAAGACTTTCCATGAATGTTCTTTATAAAAAACACAGCAATTGACTGGTCTGCCATTTTATTGGTCAGTGATGTCTTCATGTTAAAAAAACCTCAATACTAATCATAAGCATGCATTTATTTTAGAATTTGATATGTTTGCAAGTGGAACTCACTTAGTGGTAGGGAAACCACTGAATATAGTTACAGAATCAGGCACAACTTGTTTCTCTTTCCAGAAAATCAACCAAGACAATGTACAGGAGGAGTTACAAAATGCTTTGCAGCGTGAGCATGAGGCACAATTGCTTTTACAAGAACAGCAGTGACGGGTTCAGGAGCTGAGCAATAGACGGGAATCACACTCATTTACTGAGCTAAGTAAAAGCCGCATATCTCTGACGGTAAGATTATTCTTCTGGAACAGTCACCAGAGTATTACCTTTCATGAAAGAAGCCAAATAGCGCAGTCCTTGTGTAAATAAAATAACAGGAGTAAATACACACACACTACTCAGTCTGCTGGAACTTTAGTCTACTGAGAAAACACTTCAAAGACTCCTTTTTAAAATTTTTTAAGCTGTTTTTTTTTAACAGTTTAAGAAAAAGTCTTCAATGGGGGTTTGTTTTGGGTTTTTTTTTGCCTGCAATCATTTTGCATTCTAAAGCACATTTATATATAGCAAATATACTAAAAACTAGGGGGGTTCTGAGTCAGTAATGCTTTTGCTAGGAAATTAATAAAACCTTAGGATGCAGTGGTCCAAATGTACTTCACAATCAATTTGTCTCCCACGTTGGTCAGTAGCCAGTGGCATAAAGTGAAGTTTCTTTGGGCGACAGAGTAACTCTGCTCTCTGTCTGCTGGCAGGGCCTCCCTGATACAGCGGAGGAGCTGAGGAAAAGAGACCAAGTTCTGGATCAACAGGAGAAACTCCTGAAAGACATGGAGAAGGACCAGAAGCGGCTGCAGGAGACTCTCCAGGAGGCAGAACGTGCCATCCAACAGGGAGCAATGTGAGCCCTGGGGCCAGGGGGATGTCACTTAAAATGAACAAAAATTGAAATTCCTACTTCCATGGGCAGGGCTTTACTTCCCTGGACAACGTAAGGTTAGAAGAGAAAAGTACATCTGTCTCTTTTGTTTTGAAATTCAGGGATAGTCTTCTAAAACCAAAAGTGTTAGTTCAAAATACTAGGTCATACATTTTATGCAGTTATCCCATAGTAGTGCTTCAAATTCTGGGTGCTGAAATAACTGGCAAACAAAATACCTGTGCTATCTAACTGATCTGACAAGATCTCTTTGGCACATCCTTAAAGTTCTGTTTATTTAAGAAATGATTGCTTGCTCTCTGTGTTTCCACGCCAACTTTGTATAGGCAGATACAATTTATTTATAGTAAATACAGAAGCATCAGCTAGGGGACAGGTCTTCACTGCCAAAGGGACTGAAACCCATTTTGGATCTCGCCTTTCCTGTGGTACAAGATAGATCTTCCAGCTGATTTCAGGGAGTTTTGGATTTAGACCTAATCCCCACACCACTTGCACCATAACCTGGAGTGGCAGAAAAGGCTCAGGCACTGGTCTTGAAAAGACTGGTGGTCAAAAGGAGCCCCCTTGACTTGAAGGAGCTTATTACTCATCAATTCTTACGCCATATGAAAAAAATAAGTCTTTGCAGACTTTGTTGTCTAATACTTTTCATAGTATGAAGTATGTGTTACGAATATTGTTGTTCCATGGCTAGGATCTAAAAAAATTTTAGTTAATTAAAATTTCTCATCATACCTGGGATCATTCAACCTCTGAAGAGCAATATCTGAGAAGCTTTAAGGGTTTTTTGCACCAGGGAAATAATGCAATTTGTATGGTCATCAATGAAATGTTTAACAAGCTAATTAAAATGACAACTGTTATTTGGTATGAGTTGATCAAAGCAGGTGTCACCTGCAGAAAGATTTGTTCCAGAAAGCTTGCGCTTTTCATCCTGCCCCAATCTATTTTGGGCATTTCAGTAGAGATCATTCCTTGTGGCCATATATATATATCCAGAAAAGGTTATTCTAATGTGAAGTAACTTTAAAATTGGCTTTATTTTTTTTTTTTCTCCTGTATATAGCAGCTGAATATCAACAAAGAAAGCTACTCTTCCTCCAATCTTACAGCAACTCTTCACAACTAATAGGTTTTATTTCTCCCTTTGGAATATAAACAAAAGAGATTAAATAAACAGAATCTGTCTGTGGTTTCCAATACAAGAATATAATTCCATCCTGCTAGAGACTTTTTATGACCTCTATATCCAAGCCATGATGATTGTTCATTGATAGGCCTATAATTATCTCAATTTTAATTGCTTATCCTCAACAGAAGCATCTTTCATATGGAAATGCACCAAATAGTGGTACATGAACTATATTTAGGGTTGGCATTGGAAATATGAAAAAGAGAGAAAATCCTAACAGTTTGGATTATCAACAATTATTTTACAGGACATGACAGCCATAAAGTAGCAGATTATTAATTTCTACATTGGTAGAGTTTCAGTTCCATAAAGTTACTTCATTGTTCTTGTTTTGTTTTGTTTTCTTTTATTTTCTTTTATAATAGAGACAAAGAGTTGATCATTAGTCAGATGAAAGCTGTGGAAGCTGCCCTGAATGAGGTAAGAATTTGACGTGTTGCCTCTGATTTGTGTTTCTAAATCAGCTAAAGCCTTAGAACTGCTTATTCAGTTGTCATCGGCAGAATTTGGGGTTCTTTGATCATGGGGCAACTTTTACAGCACCTGCTCTACTGGAACCAGATGGGCTCTCTCTCTCTGTTAAGGACAGAAGGTTTTTAGCTCATGAACCGGCAGAATTTGTTGAAAGGACATGGAACTAGGTCTGAAGGGGAAAGGGGATGCATCTGGGCTGTCTGGAAGCAGGCCCAAGGGTGGTAAGCCTGAGACAGGAGTGAAATCAGCAGCCCAGCTGAGGTGCAGGTATACCAATACACGCAGCACAGGTTACAAACAAGAGCTGGAGGCCACGGTCCAGCAGCAAAGCTATGATGTCATTGCCATCACAGAAATGTGGTGGCACGACTCACGTGGCTGGAGTGCTGCACTGGATGGCTCCAAGTCCTTCAGGAGAGACAGGAAAGGGAGAAGAGGTGGAGGGGTGGCCCTTTATATTAGGGAATATATAGGCCAACAAGGCTGACATCCTACTGGGAGTCTGTTCTTGTCCACGCAACCAGGAAGAAGTGGTGGACAATTCATTCTATAAACAGCTAGAGAATGTTTCTGGAGCATCAGCCATTTTTCTTGCTGGCAATTTCAACCTGCCGGACATTTTTTGGGAACTCAACACAGCTGAAAAAAGGCAGTCCAGGAAATTTTTAGAGTTTGCAGAGGACAACTTTTTGTCAGAGCTGGTGGGTGAGCCCACCAGGGGAGGGACAATGTTAGATCTGTTATTTGCAAATAGAGACGGACTGGTGGGAGATGTGGTGCTTGGAAGTCACTTAGGCTGCAGTGATAATAAAATTATAACATTTTCTCTATTTGGTTAAATCAAGAGGAACATTAATAAGACTTTCACATGTGACTTCTGGAGGGCAGATTTTGTCCTGTTCAGGACACTTATTCAGAGAGTTCCTTGGGAAGCAGCCTTTAAAAACAAAGGAGTTCAGGAAGGGTGGGTGAGCTTCAGAACAGAGATCTTGAGGGCACAGAAACAGACTGTCCCTGTGTGCCGAAAGATGAGTCGATGAGGCAAACGTCCAGCCTGGATGGGCAAGGAGATTTTGGAGGAACTTAGGAATAAAATAAAGGATGTATTCTCTTTGGAAGGAGAGTCATGTCTCTCAGGAAGTATTTAAGGGGGCTGCTAGAGCATGTAGGAAAAAATTCAAGAGGCCATAGCTCAGTTTGAACTTAAAGTGTTGACTTTTGTAAAGAATAATCAAAAATGCTTTTGTAAATAGATGAATGGTAAAAGATCATTTGGTAAATGGTAAAAGAAGAGTAAGATCAACCTTTGTTGTTTATTGGATGCAGAAGGGAACTTAGTAGCTGCAGATGAGGAGAAGGCAGAGGTGCTTAACACCTTCTTTGCCTCAGTTTTTAGTGGGAAGGCTTGCCTTCAGGACAACTGTCCTCTTGGGTTGCTCGATGATATCGGGGAGCAGAATGGTCCCCCCATTATGCAAGAGGAGGCAGTCAGAGAACTGCTGAGCTGCTTGGACCTTCACAAATCCATGGGTCCAGATGGGATCCATCCCAGGGTGATGAGAGAGCAGGCAGATGAGATTGCAAAGCTGCTCTCCATCATTTACCAACAGTCCCGGCTCACTGGTGAGGTTCCAGAAGACTGGAAGCTGGCCAATGTGACACCCATTGATAAAAAGGGTGGAAAGGAGGATCCTGTTAATGATAGGCCAGTCAGCCTGAACTCAGTCCCCAGTAAGGGGGACTGAAGAGTTTATATGCAGTGTCATCACACAGCGCTTACAGGATGGCCAGGGTATCAGACGGAGCCAGCAGGAGTTTAGGAGGGGTAGGTCATGTTTGACCAACCTGGTCTCCCTTTATGAGCAAGTGACCCACCTGGTCGATGCAGAAAAGGCTGTTGATGTTGTGTGCCTGGACTCCAGCAAGGCCTCTGGCACTGTCTCCAACAGCACACTCCTGGAAAAGCTGCAGCCCACGGCTTGGGCAGGAGCACTCTGTGCTGGGTTCAGAGCTGGCTGCATGGCCGGGCCAGAGAGTGGTGGTGAACAGTGCTGCATCCAGCTGGCAGCCGGGCACCAGGGGTGTCCCTCAGGGCTCTGTGCTGGGGCCAGCTCTGTTCAGTATCTTCACTGATGCCATGGATGAGGGGATTGAGTATTTCATGAGTAAGTTTGCAGACGACACAAAGCTGGGAGTGTGTGTTGATCTGTTGGAGGGTAGGAGGGCTCTGCAGAGAGATCTGGAATGGTTGGATGGATGGGCAGAGTCTAACAAGGTGAAGTTTAATAAATCCAAGTGCTGAGTCCTGCATTTTGGCCACAATAAGCCCCTGCAATGTTATGGGCTGGGGATGGTGCGGCTGGACAGTGCCCAGGCAGAAAAGGACTTGGGGTTACTGTTTGACACTGGCTGAACGTGAGCCAGCAGTGTGCCCTGGTGGCCAAGAAAGCCAATAGCATCCTGGCCTGGAGCAGGAATGGTGTGGCCAACAGGAGCAGGGAGGTCATCCTTGCCCTATACTCAGCGCTGGTGAGGCCACACCTTGAGTGTTGTGTCCAGTTCTGGGCCCCTCAGTTTAGGAAGGATCTTGAGATGCTTAAGGGCATCCAGAGGAGGCAACGAGGCTGGTGAGGGGCTGGGAGCACAAACCCTGTGAGGAATGACTGAGGGAGCTGGGGGTGCTCAGCCTGGGGAAAAGGAGACTCAGAGGCAACCTTATCACTCTCTCCAACTTGCTGAAAGGTGGTTGCAGTCAGGTGAGGGTTGGTCTCCTTCTCCAGGCAGCAACTGACAGAACCCAAGGGCACAGGCTCAAGCTGCATCAGGGGAAATATAGGTTTGATAATAGGAAAAAGTTTTTTACAGGAAGGGTGATAAAGTACTGGAATGGTCTGCCCTGGGAGGTGGTGGAGTCACCATCCCTGGATGTGTTTAAAACAAGACTGGATGTGGCACTCGCTGCCATGGTTTAGTGGTTTAGTGGAAGTGTTAAGGCATGGGTTGGACTCAAGGATGTTTAAGGTCTTTTCCAACCTAGTCATTCTGTGAATTCTGTAATTACTGTGGGTTTTTTCTATTGGTCCCTATTTGATTGGCTATTTTAGGGTTGGGTTTTGTTGTTTTATTTTTTTCCTTGGTTGCTTCGTTGCATGGATTTTTTTTGTTTTGCAAAGTAGCAGTAGTGAGTGGGTGGGTGTTTGTTTTTTAACTTTTTAATTTTTTTTTCTTATTTTCTCCCTTTCCCCTCCTCTCCCAAAGGCTTCTTCCTTTCATTTTATTATAAAGCATTAATGGTT